TCATTTTAAAATTTGTTTGAACTACCTCTGAAATTTACTAGGCCGGCACGTAAAATTACGTGTTACCTAACACGTAAATTTACCAACTGACTGTTCTGCAAAACTACATTTGCCGACTTACTTATCTAAAATCAAATTTTTTTTTTTTCATTCAACTACTGAAGGCCGAGAAGGCCTCTACAGATGAGGAGGCTACTTAATAGTGGTTATAACCCTCTCTTGACTCTATAACTCCAAAACACGAACCTTGGCAAACGTGGCTGCGTGGAGAAACAAGTTCAGCGCGGTATTACTAGGGACTTGGTGGGGTTGAACTTGGAACCTCTTGCTTATGAAGCGAGCATTTTACTACTACACCACTACCGTATCATTGATTTACAAATTGGCTTACTAAATGGGCTAAATGTTGATTGGTGGGATATCACACTCAAAACCAACCACCCCATCCCCTGACTCCTTTGCAGTGGCCTTGGTAGCTTGTTCAATTCTAAAGATATTTAAGTTTTACCCTGTATAGTTTTTGGAGTTTTTATGAAATATTTTCCTAAAGTATCTCGTTAAACCTTTGGCACTGAAAATTAAAAAAAAATTATTTTGAAATTTTTTTATTTTTGCGGTATTATGCAGTAAAAAGATCATGCATTAGCAAACTTATTCAAAAATTCTAATAGAAATGATATCATGAACCCAAACTATTTATGTTGTATATTTATAAATTTCTTTAATTAGACTAAAAACTTAGTCGGTTAATTTTAGTTAACTAAGAAGTTAGTAGGAGTAATTTTAGTTAGCTAAAAAGTTAGTCGAGTAATTTTAGTTAGCTAAAAAGTTAGTCGGGTAATTTTAGTTAACTAAAAGTTAGTCGGGTAATTTTAGTTAACTAAAAAGTTAGTCTGGTAATTTAAGTTAACTAAAATGTTACTCGGGTAATTTTGGTCAACTAAAAAGTTAGTCGACTAATTTTAGTTAACTAAAAAGTTAGTTGGGTAATTTTAGTTAACTAAAAAGTTTGTTGACTGATTTTAGTTAACTAAAAAGTTAGTAGACTAATTTAAGTTAACTAAAATGTTAGTCGGGTAATTTTAGTTAACTAAAAAATTAGTCGACTTATTTTAGTTAACTAAAAAGTTAGTCGACTAATTTTAGTTACGGTATTTTTAGTTTAGTTAGTTACAATTTTTAGTTTTGGTCACAACACTATGATAGAGGGACATGTTTTATGTAATGAATTAGTTAGCAGACAATTTAAAAAAGAACACTTTAACAAAAATTAAAGTAAAAAACTATTTTACATTTATTTGAAACTAAATTTTACATTCAATGTTTTACTATTTTATTTAAAAAATTTCTAATTTTAATAGACTTTAAAAAATTTAATTTAGTTTTGAAGGAATGTAAAATTTGTTTAATTATTTAAAATTAGAGTTTTTTAAAAAAACAATTTGTTTTTTTAAAAAACTCTAAGTTGCCGTTTTTTTTACAGCCAAATATTTTCTGAATAAATAAGCAAAGTTAAAAGATAATTTAAATATTAAAAAAATAAAAGTTTTTACTTAACTGAAGGCTTTCAACGTTTTTATTTTTAAAAAAGTTTTTGCTTCACTTTACACTTTTGACATTTACAAAAAAAGTGAACTTGCATAACTTATCTTAACAAAGCCTGTCAAAGATTTTTTTTGTTGGCAAATTTAATTCCATTACTTTATCTCTAAAATATTAAATAAAATTTGTAAAAAAGTAAAAATAAATTTAGTTTTATTTAAGAAGTATTTTATAAAATATGTTTAAACGCTTGCAAAAGTCACCTTTTAGGGCAACCTAATTGAATCAAGGAAATGTTTTTAGTCGCCCTTCACAAAATTTGGTCGATTAGTGCCTGCGGGCGACTACGAGTGTACACCTCTGATATATTTGATACATTAAAGCAACCTTATACAATATTTCAATATTTACCACGACATAAGCAAAGTCAAATGCATTAAATCATTATATCCCGCTCCTGCACGTGCACAACCATCAGTCAGTGGTCTTTGAAGTTTTTTCCATTGCAATTTGGCAACAGCAATCATTAAATGTTAATATATAATTAATCATTAAATAATCATTATGTTTTTAAAATTTTTTAGGTAATCGTGTGGCAGATGATTGGAGTACATTACCACCTGATATTATTACCTTTAATAGAGATGTACCAGAAAGTGTTTAAATATTTAAAATAATTAATTTTTTAAAAACATCCCTAAACTTTATTGATAATTTTTTTATAGCAATATTGTTTAATTTAAGGATATTAGGTCTTCAAATAACTTTTAATGTAGTTTCAAATTTAAATTAAATATAATGCGGTACATTGAAATATGCAACTGATGTAATTTAACTTTTAACGATGTAAATATGAATATTGAGTAAATATACATTAACTTAGGCTACACTTTTTATGATGGACCATTTTAAATTGGGTGTTATTTTTGATTTATTTTGTATATCCCATAGATATTTTGAAAGCGTGGTTGCGTTTGCGAGTTTTTTGTTTTTGAAGGATTGCTTGTGATTTGCCTATCTAGTTTTCCACATGCCCTCTTTTGAACCAATGTGCGTTTTGTTGGCTGTGTTTGGGAATGATGAAATGCACTTTTATTACATTTTATTACATTTGTTTTTTTGCAATTTCTGTTCATAGGGTAGATTTCGCTTAGTTTACGATTGCAAGCTAAGGTGGCCGTTTAGTTCATTGAAATAATTTTATCATTATGGTTCTTTATAATTTTTGCTATGTTGCTTGTGCAGCTGTAGCTTACTGTATTACGGTTAAATAGTTTATGAAACGGATTTGGTTTTGAAAAATGTTTGTCAATTAATTGCATTTTTATTGTATGGTGGGTTAAACCAGATTATATTTCTTTTTCTTTTACGATTAGGGGTTACTTTGGTATTAATTTTAGGGTTGTATTCAAAACTAAAATCTTTGAACCCATTTCTTTTTAGGGCTTCGTTGTATTCTACCTTTGCCGAGTTGAATATTTTTTTGTCAGAAGAATATTGGGATAACCAATAGTTAGTAGCAATTAGAATTTGTTTATTATTTGTGGGGGGTGGTTGGACTCGGTATGGATGTAAAGTAGGTTGGTATTTGGTTTTTTGAAAGTATGATATGAGTCTTTTTCAAGGTTTTTTTTTTTTTTTTTTTTTTTTTACTTCACCTCCTCAAGGCCGAGAAGGCCACTACAGACGAGGAGGCTACTTATTTTGTGGCTATAACCCTCTCTCAACTCTATAACTTCGAAACATGAACCTTGTCGAACAAGGCCGCTGCGCGGAGAAACAAGTTGAAGAAAAGGTTAAATGTTACATCTTTTAAGTAACGAAGTTAGCAATTGTTAGGTTTGTCATAATTTCTATTTGGAAGCCGATTTTTAAAAAAATTTGCAATATTTATTCAGATTCTATTTATCTGCCGCACAGATATATAGAATCAATTTAGTAATTTAAGAAATTTAGAAAGATAAAATCATAAGTAAAATTAATAAAATTAAAAAAAACTTTCACTAAATTCAAAAAAAAACTAAAGAACAACATATTGAACATAAAATCAAATCTCAATATCATAATATTTGCAGACAAAACCAGCAATATTTATGAACCCCCAAAGACCACGTTAAACTACTGAAAGGAAATATCACAAATTCATATAAAAAAGCACCAAAAGTAAAATATATAAAACTTGAAAATGCAATAAACCTTGCAAAACCTTGAAGCAAAAAACATAGCAAAAACAAATATATCTAATAAATCTAAAATAATCATCAAATCAGAAGCGTTCATCGCATTGAAGGACCGTAAAATTAATTTACAAAGCCAAATCCCTGCTGCCTAATAAATTCAGCAGAGGGCCAATTTGGCATTGTAAGCAAAACCTATTTAAATAAGATCAATAAACGGAAAAAAAATACATTAAAATTAAACCAGTGGAAAAATACAGCTGAAGTCATCAAATGGTTCAAAAATATAGAAGAAAAGAAACACTGCAATTTTACCCAACTCAATATCACTGAATTTTACTCCTCTATCACACCTACAATTCTAAAAAATGCACTAACATTTGCAAAAGAAGTCATGGAAATTAGCGAAGAAGAAATCAGAACAATTATCCATTGCAGAAAGTCTCTAACAACGTCTTCAAAAAAGTCAACTAACGACTGCTTCAACGTCACAATGGATTGCAATGATGGAGCTGAGGTTTGCTGGTCGGTCTGTATATATTAAACTCATTATCATAAACTGTTACCAACAGCAATATGGGCCTCTACCGGGACGACAGGCTGATAATAATGTGTAAAAAATCTGCCGCACAGATAGATAGAATCCGAAAAAATATAATTTTTTTTAAAAAAAATCTAAAAGTAAGCTAAAGCTGCACAAGCAACAATTATAAAGAACCATAATGATAAAATTATTTTGATGAACTAAACGGCCACTTAAGCTTGCAATTGTAAACTAAACGAAATCTACCCTATGAACAGAAATTGCAAAAAAACAAATGCAATTTATAAGAGGATTGCATCATTCCTAAACACAGCCGAAAAAACATACATTGGTTCAAAAGAGGGCATGTGGAAAACTAGATCGGCAAATAACAAGCAATTCTTCAAAAACAAAAAACTCGCAAACGCAACCATTTCAAAATATCTTTGATATACAAAATAAATCAAAAATAACACCCAATTTAAAATGGTCCATCATAAAAAGTGCCTTCGCCTACAACAACATTACCAAAAAATGCCTATTATGCTTATACGAAAAACTATTAATTTTATTGCATCAAAATCCTAAAGATTTTTATTTTAACAAAAAAAACGAATTAATATCCAAATGTCACCATGAGAACAAGTTTTTGTTGGACAACCACAAACCAAAAGATCTGATTTTTCTGAATGTATATATATTTATACACACACATATATATTCCCCAAATTTAAAGATGTATTATAATTTAAAGAAACCTTTTTATCAAATTCTTTCCAGAGATCAGGATAAACTTTTAACACCATACTCAATATTTTATGATCTAAATATTTATAAAGAAAAATAAACTATAGAATTTAAAAACCTAATATCCTAAATTTATATTTTACATGTGCCTATACGGCAATCATCAGCCATTGAATACAAAATCAAAAACAAAACAAAATATATATATATATATATATATATATATATATATATATATATATATATATATAGAAAAAAAAAAATATATATATATATACATATACATATACATATATACATATACATATACATATATATATATATATATATATATATATATATATATATATATATATATATATATATATATATATATATATATATATATATATATATATATATATATATATATATATATATATATATATATATATATATATATATATATATATATATATATATCGCTAAGTTAAACTTAAACTAGGAAAAAAGTTAAAAAAAAACTAACGAAAAAAAAAAAATTCCTAATGTAAAAAATTATTTACGTAAAAGAAATTATATAAGCACTGAAATAAAAATTAAAAATAAAAACTTAAACTCAAAGCGAAACTTTTTGTTACCTTTTTAATTACTTTTGAAATAAATCTTTTTAAACGTTTTATTAAAGTTACGCAAAACCTTTTTAAATTAAGTGGCAAATTACTAAATTTATCAAATGAACAAATTTTATCAAATTTATTAAAAAGTATTGTATTTAATATTTTTAAATTGTAAACATTTTTTCAAGAAAATTGCAAAAAAAAATTTATTTAAAAAAATAACTTAGTGCTCTAATTAGTCTAATTGAAAAAAAAAATGTTTCCAACTCTATTTGTAAAAAAAAGGAAAAAAATAAATAAATAAAATGCGCCTGCGATTTAAATAAAATAAACTACTAACAAGCAATTTAATTTAATTTTAATTTGAGCATTACAACTTTATTAATGAGCGCTTTAAATAACAAATTTAAAAATTATTATAAATGATTATGTCATTCATTCTTATCATGAAAAAAAAAAAAAAAAATTTCAAAAATAAAATGATTGTTTTTAAAAGATTTTAAAAAATTGTTTGTTTAATTATAAAAATTAATCTTATGAACATTACAAAATACATGCTTATATAAGTAAATAAATTTATTTTATATTCTTGTATAATTCACATTAAAAAGCTAAATGTAAATGTGTAAAAGCTAGTAGTCGCAAAAGGTTTAGAACTTATTTGTAAATTAAAGTAACTTTAAAAAAATCTTTCCAAAATTAATGCTTTAAAAGATTTTTAGGAAGACATGAGAAAATAGTTTCAAACATTTATATTTATCATAAAAAATACTTTCCTACATAAAAAAAACTTATATATAAAATTTTTAATAATTTACACGTGTTTATGTAAACAGTGTTTATGTTAACAAGTGTTTATGTTTACTTTAAAAAAATCTTTCTAAAATTAATGCTTTAAAAGATTTCATTAAAAAAAGAATTAGTTACATGGTTTTAATTTGAAGCCTTCACTTAAAATAAAAACTTTAGAAAAAAGATCAACAATTAAAGGTTATTCAACGTAACACTTTTAATTGCATTTAAATTGTTAAAACATCAAAATAACCGTGGTCAAGTTGTAAAGAAAAGTGTGGTCAGTTACAGAGTGCGATCCCACCTCATTCCTGTCCAAGCCTGTATTTTCTATTATTAGTATAATCTTAAAAACATTTTACTTAATTGTTTGATATTTCATGATGCCACAATTAATAATGACCAATATTTGTAAGATTATTTTTTATAAATAATTGCCTGTTTAACATTATACATTGACTAAAGTTTATTTAAATAATTTTTAAACAACATAACATACTAACAGTCAGGTTATATGTTAGTTTTGTGTTTCACATCCTATTATAAATATTTTTATTAAACTTTACTTTCTCTATAGTGATGTGGTCAACACAGCTAGAAAACCAATCACGTATACAAATTTACTTAATAGTTAACTTTTTTTCTTTTAATTGTGAACTGTTTTAAATTGGCACAACAAATACATTGTTTTATTTTTATTATATAATAATATAATATTGATTATAACATATGACATAGCCACGACAGTTGTTGCAACTACTGCAACAGTAAACAGTAGTAATTACAGCAATAACATCAATAGCAGTAAAAATAGCAGGGTGGGGCAGAAAATTTCACAAAATTTTGATTGTCGCAAATTTGATTGTCAAAAATGTAAAAAATGAAATAGTGTCACAAATCATTGCATTATTGATTGTTGAATAACAGAATAAGGAATAATGTTGCAAATGAATTTAATGAACAGTGTCAAAAATTAAAAAAGGAATAATGTCCTAGAGGAGATTAATGAATAGTAACAAAAATAAAAATAATAATAACTATAAATGTGTGTTTAGATAATATGTCTGAAGTCACAAGGCCGTAGACAACTTTTTTTCATGTTTGAGTTAAGCAACTTTGAAACATGAGGAAAACTCTATATTTAAGAATGTTTGTATATATGAGGAATGAGAGTGCTATGCAAAAAATTGCACTGATTGGAGACTGGAAACAACAAAAACCCTTAAATATTTGCCTCCTCCCCAGCCCTAAATGAGACGGCAATGAGTCAAATTTGTTATTTTTTTTTTAATCTTAAACTTAATTTACATTTATCAACAAATTTCAAATTTGATTCAATAATCACTCATTTTAAGGTTTTTGTTGTTCCCAGTTTCTAATCAGTGCAATTTTTTGCATAGCATCCTCATTCCTCATATATACTAGCAGTAAGCAACCCGTAATACGCGTTGTTAGTAAATAAAATTTAAAAAAAAAAACGCGTATAGAAAAGCCTAGAAACTACTTTAAAATAGAAAAGCCTAGAAAATGACGTAACTCGACTAATAATAATATTAAATTAGCATATTCATATTATCAGATGAACATACTTAAATATGGAGCTTTCTTTATTTTTTAAAATTACTAAGCTCAAACATCAAAAAAAGTTGTCTACGGCCTTGAGTCATACTGAAACAGTCTGCTACCAGGGGTTTAAGTACCAATTACTTTATAGCCTGCTGTCGCAAAGGAATTTCGCAATATCAATAGAGTGTTTAGGGTAAGGAAGCAATCTTTTTTTTCATTATTCTTTTTTTTTGTTTTTTTTTTCCTGTTAAAGCCATATGCTATAAAGATAAGCAAAAGGAGTAAGCAATTGCTGAAATTAACTATTTCCGACACTATTCTTTTTTTTTTTGCGACATTAGGCCTTTTTAATATATTTGACACTCTTTTAAGTATAACCTGATGTTTGCTTTTAAACTGATTATTTTTTCAGCAGATATTTTGGATTTTGAAATACTTGATTTGCTCAGAATACATTTTTTTTTTTACATTAAGGAATTCAAAAAGTGTTTTTGCTTTCTCCACATGTTTTGCACATATTATGTTTTAGCTGTAATTTAGCTGTAATTCAATTACAGCTAAATTACAGTCGGTTTTTTAACAATTTATTGAACTTGTTCAGTCAATTATTGTCGGTTTTTTAACAATTTACTGAACTTGTTTAGTCAGTTTAAATTATGGTTTTTCATAATATTGTTGTTAAAAATTCATGAACAGTCAAGGCAAAACTTTAGTTGTTATAACATTAACATTGTTCGTAAACATTCACAATTTTATGTAAAAGTTGAGTATTAAAAATATGCAAAATGTAGTTTTTTGTGATTTTATAATAGAAAACTAATTTTTAAAGCAAACAGCAAGTATGCAATTACGATGTTATCATCAAAGTTATTTTAGTTGTTAAGAAGTAATAAAAAACTGCATCTTTCAATAATGACCTTGTTAAAACAATCTTTTTATCTAAATACACAAGGTAATTTGGTTAATTGTAGCCTAGTTTTGAAAGTAAACTGTTTGTTATAAAAGTTAATAATAAAATTAGTATTAATATAATTAAATTGAAACAGTTTGTATTACGTTATGATGATTTAATTAATTTCAAACCAGAGTTTTATTTATTTATTAACATAACGTATAATAAAAGAAGATAAAAAAAAAAGCGGCATTTTGGAGAAAACAAAAAAATATATTAAAGTTGAAACAAAATGAGCAAAGAATTTAGACTCTGAATAGTAAGAATACTAACTGAAATACAAAATATAAAACTTGACTAAAATATCCAATCCATAAACCTTTTTTAAAAAGCTCTCTGTATGTGTTAATTATATTGTTGACATTTACTTTAAAACAGGAAATATTTGTTTAAGTATTATAAAAAATCTGTTATTATATCTTTGTATTTGTAATGGGGCTGTCCTTTAATTACGTCAACAAAATAGGGGAGGGGTATTTTTTAGACAATTGTTGACAAGGGGGAGGGGGGAAGGTTATAAAAAAAATGAAATCAACATTTTATATTTTTTTGAACATTTTACTTTTAATTTTAAAATTAGGCAGCATTTGCAGTCCTGTGTTAAATAGTCGCTCAACCTTCAGTATTAAAATGACTATCCTTTAACATATATTCCTACTTTTTAAAAACCTTCTTTTTTTTTTTTTTTTTTTTTTTTTTTTTAACATCTTCGCTTCCAACAAGGCTGCAAGCAACCACTAATTAGTATTGGAAGTTACTGGAAGAGAAAAGATGAAGATTGTAGAGCAAAATAAGATAAGACTTAAAATATTGCAAATTATATGAATCAGGAAAGCAAGATTAAGGAAGCGAATTCCAAAGAACTGATGTTCGAGGAAAAAAAATTAGATGAATAAGAGTTTTTGGAGCACTTAGGAACAGTAACAGAAAAAGAATAAGACTTAATTGAATGACGAGCAACATGAGAATGAATTTTAGTAGATGGCACAAGAGACGCTAGCTCTTTAGAGCAGTGCCCATTATAGTATTTGTAGAAAAGAGAAAGAGAAGCAACATTACGACGATATGACAGATGTTGAAGGTTGAAGGTTAACCTTCAACTTTAAAAAGACCCGACATACAGAACTAAATAACTACACACAAGACTTCAAAGTTATTGTTGTTTCA